GGGACCACAGGCGCCCGCCTCAATGCCTGACTGTTTTTTTTTTTGGTTGCAGCCATCATTGTTTGGCAGGCCTAGGCTGGATTCGAACCCACCACCTTAGGTGTATGTGGCTGGCGCCTTAGCCACTTGAGCCACAGGCGCTGAGCCTAGATTTGCTTTTAAAGGGAGCATGTTTTTAATGTAATGCTGAGTAGTACAGATACTATAAAGGAAGATGTGTCCTGTAGGGAAGGCAGGTGTCCTAGGCACAGTCTCAGATCACTGCTCTTTAGCTTTGATCAGGCTGTGAGGGGGATACCTGTGCAGACCCACCTCAGAGATACTGGTTCACAAAAAATGAAATGCTGATTTAAAAAAATAGTGAAATTTGTAACTAAGCAGACAAACTATTCATTTGTTGATCTCTGAGAAAACTATACAGTTGAGTTGAAATATAAATAGAAGGCTGTGTGGTGAATGTGGCATCTGACCTGTCAGACTCAGCTGAATGATCTTATTTTGATTGTAGGGAAAAAAGTTTGCTTGTCTACTACATTCAGGTTCATAATCTGGTGTTATAAATAAAATTTAGCTCTCAGGGAAAGTCTGCGATGAGGAGCTAGTATGTAGGGTCCAGAGATAGGTGAGTCTGTCTGCTTTTAAGACTTAAGCATTTAGTTGAGGACAAGTGCATTTTCTAAGGCCAGTGACAAAGAATTGACCACATTCTTTTTCCCTTCATTTGAGCCATTTGTAATGCCATGTGATAATGTACATTAACATGTAGTGTAAATGGATTTTTGAAATGCATCAAAATGCTGTAATAATTTTTCTTTGAACCTGCAGGTTCTCCTGAAAAGAAAGTTGAACATTCATCCTTGAATGAAGAAAATAGCACTGCAAAACATACCAAGAATGGAAAGGAAGGTGCAGTGTCTAAAGATCAGCACACTAGAAAGAAACCCTCTGAGAATTCGTCAGGACGAGGTCACATTCAAAAGAAGAAGGATGAATCTGAGAGTGATTTTGAATCAGATCCTCCTTCTCCTAAGAGCAGTGAAGAGGAAGAGCAAGAGGATGAAGAAATTCTTCAGGGAGAACAAGGAGATTTTAATGATGATGATACTGAACCAGAAAATCTGGGTCACAGGCCTCTGCTCATGGATTCTGAAGATGAGGAAGAAGAGAAACACAGCTCTGATTCGGATTATGAGCAGGTGAAAGCCAAGTACAGTGACGTGAGACCTGCCTACAGGGACACCCCTGGCAGTGGACCAACCCAAGATCCCAGGCCAACGCTCCTCACCCCAACCCCCTTGCCCTCTGATGTTGGGGCAGAGACTCCCAGACAGGAGGAGTTTGATGTATTTGGCGCCGTCCCCTTCTTCGCAGTGCATGCTCAACTGGCCCAGCAGGGAGAGAATGAAAAGAATCTTCCTCCACAGAGGTTTCCCACCATGGGACTTGAGCAAGAAGAGTTTGATGTGTTCACAAAGGCCCCCTTCAGCAGGAAGGTGGATGTGCCGGACTGCCGTGCGGGGGGCTCAGAGGCGCATACAATCCCTAGTTGTCCCAAGAGTGTAGATATGTTTGGCTCCACTCCATTTCAGCCCTTTCCCACATCAGCACATAAAAGTGAAAGCAATGAGGACCTTTTTGGTCTTGTGCCCTTTGAGGAAATAACTGGGAATCAGCAGCAAAAAGTCAAACAGCGCAGCTTACAGAAGCTGTCCTCGCGCCAGAGGCGCACGAAGCAAGACATGTCCAAGAGCAACGGGAAGCGGCACCACGGCACGCCCACCAGCACAAGGAAGGCTCTGAAGCCGGCCTACCGCACTCCTGAGAGGGCACGCAGGCACAAGAGAGTGGGCCGCCGAGACTCTCAAAGCAGCAACGAATTTTTAACCATCTCAGACTCCAAGGAGAACATTAGCGTTGCGCTGACGGATGGGAAAGACAGAGGGAACGTTCTACAACCCGAGGACAGTCTGCTGGATCCCTTTGGCGCCAAGCCCTTCCATCCTCCAGACCTGCCACGGCACCCTTCCCTTCAGGGCCTGAGCGACATCCGTGCTGATCACAACACCGTCCTGCCTGGGCGGCCAAGACAGAATTCACTACATGGGTCATTCCACAGTACAGATGCATTGAAAATGGATGATTTTGGTGCCGTGCCCTTTACAGAACTTGTGGTACAAAGCATCACTGCACATCAGTCCCAACAGTCCCAACCAGTTGAGTTAGACCCATTTGGTGCTGCTCCATTTCCTTCTAAACAGTAGATACTTCTGACGGATTCTTGGCATTAACTTCCTGTTTCAAAAAAGTATGAATAGTTTTATGAATTTGAAAGAAATTTTATTTGTATAGCTCTTTATATTGTTCATTCTTAAACATCAATCAGAATAGGTGATTTTTAAAATAAACCAAATAGAAAAAGAAGTATCTCTGCAGGGTAGTAACTTGATGCCTTTTCCAAGCAGGAGAAAAGGGAGCTGAATTGCGAACTCTGACCCAGGGTTTCTACTGCTGCCGTCAGGAGTGTGAAAGCACCCAGCACCTTTCTAGAGGCGTAGCCCGAGAAGGGACGGACAGGACAACTATCGTTACTTTTGATACTGGAACGTGACTTTTGTGTCCAGGCTCATTCTAGATCTACATTTAAAACTAGGGTTATTTGTACACATAATCGGTTGTGTTTGTGAATTTTTTTAAGGTCTCCTAATATGCACACAGTCAAAAACAATCTAGTTCTCTTAAAGAATTGGAAAATTATATTCTGGAGAATACAGACCTTTCAGTCAGTACAAAGCAGAGCCAGAAGTAATTGACTATTGTGCCTAAAACTGTTTTCATTTTTAAAAACAAGTGCCATTAATACATAACATCTAATGATAAGTATATGAAATAATGCATATGAGTTCCACTTAGCCATTCCTCAGTGTGTACATATTTGCAAACATGCTGTACAGATAAATACATGCAATTTTTGTCCATTAAAACAAATTTAAAAAACGAAATGTCTACATAGAAGCCTAGAACAAAAACATAATGACGTTTAAAAAATGTAAAAGAAAAAAATACAGAAGAAAAAAATATAGAAGAAAAAAAATCCAGTATTTTGGAAACTTGATGCTCTGGTTGTGAATGGCTTCTTGCCCCAAATTTTTATTAACATCCCTAATAAAGCATTTTATTAGAAAAATGGGAGTGAGGACAAGGGTAGAAATTTTTTTTCAGAAGAAAAGCATGTAGCTGAAACCCTGAAATTTAATACATTTTGTGAAATCATGTTGCATTTAATAATGTACTTTATTAAATCTCCACCTTCATCACATACTCTCCAATTCATAAACAAGTTATTTTTATTTTTATTAGGTGTGGAGGGTGGAATAGTGTTAATAAAGTACACAGCACAGTGAAACCCACAAAGCCTTAGAGGCAGGAGTCATGTATCTTGGGGCGAGTTCCTCTGGCCTGGTGTGCCAGGTCTGGGAGCAGATGCGAGGTGCTGTGCGCTGAAGGCCGGCATCTTGCCCCTGCTAGCTGAATGTTTGTACTGAAAAGAATCCAGCTACCAAATTGCCTTTCTTTTTTAAACACCACAAATCCTAATTACAAACTTGAGATTTTATAGAAATTGTATTTTATGATAAACATTACATATATGAATTATTGTGAATAAATTTTCTGTGTTTCCTGTGTCTATATCTATTTCAGGTTAAAATTAACTGTCCTTCGCTATCAGATTAACATTTGGAAGTTTCTAGATCTGTTAAAGCAATTACAAAAAGGGGTAGCAAACTCTTATCTGGCATTCTCTTTGTTATATTTTAAATTAACTTTTTAACTCAATTAAAGTGTATTTTATTAGTAATCTCATTAGAATCTCTTAATCCTAGTGCTCCTGTGGGATAAGCTATTTGCCTGTTTCATAGTTCTGAACTTGGAAAGAAGCAAAGTGTATATAACTGAACTATTCTTTTTTTAATGCTTTTTAAATTTTACACGCTAAATATGATATAAATTGGAAGCAATATGTGAATTATAATATAGCAGAGGCAGACAGAGCATTACATTACAACTTGGAGTTACACTTTCATAGGTGAACTGCACCAATTACTTATCCTTGTGCCAAAGGCAAATCCTACATTTGCACCTTTTTCTTGGTGATTCTCAGGTTGGTTGATACATCAGTGTTCCTCTTAAAACTTTACAAATAGGTTCAAGTGATTATTTTAAAAGTGAAGAGTTTATTACACATAGTAAATTCATGAATGATAGTAGGTTTGTATCAAACAGAAGAATTTACTTTTTAAAGCGAATCTGTTGGCTGATATGTACAGAATGTTTTTCTGATTTTTTAGTCCTTGGTCTTTGCCAGAGCTCGTGAGTTTCATCATTTACAAGGGGTAATGGATGAACTAATATGGTCTCCTTTGGATATAAACATGAAATACCTAGAGTTTTATTTGTTTTTCAATACACTGAATAATTTTAAATGATTCAGACAGTGATGTAGACCTTTTGGCTTATAAGGTTAGATAAATTCTGAAAAAACAACCAACGGATTTTCCTTTTTCTCAATTGTAGCGCAGAGGAAAGATTTAGGGTTCAACTGGGGTTAATGGGATAGAAATGGAGCGATTCTGTTGTGTTGAAATAGAGGCACTTTCCCAAGTAGGACAGGCTCACACCTTCTGTTTTCAGGCATTGTCTCCCATCATCATGGTCAAGGGGTTGGTTACTGCATACACGGGATGGGAAAGGAATTCTCTTGTATTAGGAGAACAAAATTCCCAAGGCATGTGAATGCACTGAGCACAGTCCATGGCACACAGCACTCGATACCATTTGGCTCTATTATGGAAGGGTCCAATTTTGGTTTAAGGAAAAGTTGAAAAAAATTATTTTCTTAATATTTGGGTGTCCCCTGTGCTTCATTACAATGTAGTCATAGCTCTAAACCTGTTACACTTGAACGTCTCTAAGGGAAGTAAAATATTATGAAGATAGCAAAAATCTGAGGCCAAAGTTGTTTCCTAACAGCTTTCACAATGCTTGCTGACTTTAAAAAGTGGACCATTTGCTTTATTATTTCAGTATTTTCACTTCAGTAAAATGTTAGTATTAAAAAGATCAGCTATTTTGGGCGGCACTTGTGGCTTAGTGAGTAGGGCACCAGCCCCACCCATATACCAAGGGTGGCAGGTTCAAACCCGGCCCTGGCCAAACTGCAACAAAAAAAACGAACAGCTGGGCATTGTGGCGAGGGCCTGTAGTCCCAGCTTCTCGGGAGGCAAGGCAAGAGAATCGCTTAAGCCCAAGAGCTGGAGGTTGCTGTGAGCTGTGATGCCATAGTACTCTACTGAGGATGATAAAGTGAGACTCTGTCTCTAAGGAAAAAAAAAAAAGATCAGCTTTTTGTGGCACTGAATGTATCTGCTAAGACACAAAAATTGCTTGGTATATAATAGATATATTAAGTGGATGAGGAAAGGTGGTAGGATGGATGAAAATTTAACTGGCTAGAGTATTTATTTGGAAGTGTAATTCCCCGACACCCCCCTTGCTGTGTATGTGTGTATATGGGCATAGTTATGGAATTATCTGGATTTGCAGACAGACACAGCTCCCTGTGCTGCCCTGTCTATTGCCAAACTGTGCAGCCTGTTGTCCTCCCCACCTTGCTGGGGAGGACACGAAGGTGGGAGTGCTGTGCTGACCTTTACCGGGCAGAGCGGTTTCTCACTACACAGTTTCTCTGCTTGGTTTCTTTTAGGTTTTGGTACTTCATACAAGCACTGTTAGGAGGTACAAGTATTTTTAATATCACTATTTCTGAAGAGTCTGGGTACATTTATTTTAATAAATATTTAGAATATGCAGTGAACTTTTCCTAATTTTTCTTTTTAGCAAATCTTTTATCACTTTAGGTCCAATTATTGAGTCAACAGTCTACTGTGAGAATGAGATGACTTATCTACTGTGAGAATAACATAAATGAATAGTTTATTTGAAAAGTTTTGTACTCTGTGGTGTTTTATATATTAAGATAAAAATATATACACACATGCATGCACATATCACATCTCTATACTGTGGAGGTAATGTGAATTTTTAGAAAATGGAATTGCAACTACAATCGTGTCTAAAAGAACATTTACTCCTAGGGAGAGTTTACAAAAGCCACTAAAAGAATAAGGTAGATGAAAATACAAAGGTTCATCATTTGGGGTTATTTTTATTTTAAAGTTTATAGTGCTCCTTCTGAAAGAGAATTATTTTTATAATTAACTATACTCTTCTGCGATTGGAGCCATCTAACAGAAGCTGGATGGAACCTACTTTTTAATTGCTGGCAAACAGCTTTAAGTGCACTTTGATTACACTTCAATTTTTTGTTAAACTTGAATTTTCTGAGGCCTTTTATGTACCACTAAGCAAATAACTTTAACTTTTAAATAAACTGAATTTACATCATTATTATGTTTCTAATTGTTCTAAAACATACTTGTTAAAGTAACTTCAGTGCTCAAATATAGCTGGGAAATTGTCATGAGATGGAATCAGTTGCCTTTCCCCGTATCTAATTAAGCACTAACAGATTTTATTATTTTATTGCTTTTATATTGCTTATTCTTTTTGACTGAATTCTGTCCCTGATTCACTATGTTTGAAATTTATTTTCTTACTGTATATATCATACCTATTGTTTTAATAATCTGCTTTCTTTAGAATGCAATAAATCCCCAATGGATTACATATTCTTTATAATCAGCAACTTTTGAATTTTTCATTACTTATTAAAAGTTTTGGATGGAAACTACTATTTGGTTCTTTTGTTCATACCACAGATGTTAAGCTCCTATTATAGTCCTGCTAGTGAAAGAGAAAAAAGGGCAACAGTAGAGTTTTGTTCTTCAGGAGCTCACAGCTGAGGATTAAGGTAAGAAACTCCATCTGACCTAGAATTTGTAACAAGAGCACTTAACGCCCCATTTTTTTCAGTAACTGTAACGACTGATGTGTCAGGAAGGCAAAATCTCAAGGTTCTGAAGCACCTTCTGAATAACCTGTTTTGCAGTTTTTGCATTATGTGTAACTTAAGGATTGGTAATATCTTTGGTTGAATAAAATAGTGGTTACTGATTTGCTTAAATAACAATTTAATCCTTGATTATGTCAGAAAAGAGGCTTTAATACCTTAAAGAGAAAACCTATTTATTGGACTGAGGGACTAAACTTGGCATCAAAGTGTCCCTACTATCTTATTACGTATTATTCTACAAACCAGTGGGATAACAGACTGGTGGCCTGTGGAAAGATGCATTTTATTTGTAGATGTTACTACTT